AGAGGCTTTTTTAGCTAGAACTAGACAATCTCCATGTGATATTAACGTGTCGTAAATTGGAGAAAGTGTATATATCAGCATCGTTAGACGGACTTATACTATACGTCGGACAGGATCAGCAAGATTATTTTGCCCGTATGTACTGTACATTCTATCATGCAAAAGTCAATTCTAGATCATTGTGCCTTATTGCGATGAACAGATTTGGAACTTTGTAACGCAATATTTTTAAGTGTGTCACACCACCATAAAAAAATTGTGCCTCGAGCATTAGGCATTTAGTATAGCCTAATGCAGTATTAACGACACAAGACCAAATTCTACATGCGTACAGTAATAAACGGTTTCTGAAAGTGGATGGAAGAAATCAAAATTTCTTTCAGGAAGGCATGTGCATGAGAGTTAAAATTGGAAGTGATGGTACAGGAACGTATCTGTGCATAGCGGTACGATGCGTATGTTGTTGGAGAACGCTTGCACAAATAAGATTGATTGACGGCAACATTGTTTCACGATCAATAAAATGATATATACGCATTTTCATTAAGTACAGAGTAAGTGAATTTCCTTCAAGTTTTAAGGATTTAAATTACAGCGATTCACTGTGTGTTATTACGTGCACATGCTAAATTTCACCCGGTGCGCTATTACAAGTCTGTCATTTCTTGTTCCAACAACTTTTAATTTAAGAATAACTTGATCACATTTGAAACACAAAGCACACAATCACTATTTATTATTTTATTTTTATTCACATGTGTGGTGTATACATACGTAATGATATGTACAAACATATAACTCATTTAACCTAGATTAACGTACATATGCGTGTGTACGTACGTATAATCATTTTACGTAAATTAGTAACTTACGAGCTTCTTCCAATCACCACGTATTGTATCTTGTTTTTTTTTTTTAAAAAAAAAAAAACTACTTCAATACACAATATACGCACTATTATTTTATGGAAAGATTACCTATCCCTGTTTTTTCTTCACACATACTATAAAAAAAAGTTATTTTAACGACGAACCTGCATTAGATTTATTGTACTTTATTTATTCGATTAAGGGGGTGAAAACGAAACATTCTGCCACTGTCCATAGCCCATAGAAAATTATTCCTTCGGTTGTTAATAATAACAACATCCAATACACTTGTTTA